GAAAGAAGTTGAATGAGGGGCAGGCAGGGGTCTGATCATGAGGTTTACATTTTCTTCTGAGTGGGATCGAAAGCCACAGGAAAATTTTCAGTGGAGACGATCATGATTTGACATCAGTACTATAAATTAGTATAATGTTGAACTTATAATTTGATGTGATATATGGCTGATAGGCGGAGAATTGACCACAGTGCAGCGATAGTGAAAACGGGGAGAGGGAGGATGTTGTGCTAACCCAGGAGAGTAGTAGCAGTAGAAGTGATGATAAATGGTCAGATGAGGGACGTGCTTTAAAGCATAGTCACTGGTGTTAGAAGATAGAGAGTATGTGGGTGTGAACAAAACAGAGGCTATCCATCCATATATTGTCTTTAGCGCCAAATCTCTCCGTTGCCCTGCTACGAAACTAGCACGCTTCTCCCTTACTGATGGGCAGGATGCTAAACCAGGCTTCGTCATTACGAGGCGCTGAAGCAGCACTTGGGGAGGAACAGGCTTTTCTCCCTGGCTCTGGTACCTGCTCTCTCGTAGCAGGCTCCTGCCTAATGCGTGCAATGCATGAGACCTCATCGTGGACAACCACCCCTGCCCCTTAGAGGGCAGCTTCCAGTGGTATTCAGTTCCTTGGGCAGATTCCCAGCATGGCCTGAGATGCAGTTTCTTCCCTTGGACAGCTTTTCCTAATACCCCTATGAGTGGCTTTTCAGCAAGTTCCATCAGCAAAGAACCTCTGTGAGCTTCTTCATTACCCACGGGACCCTACCGCACTCTTTCCCTCAAGGTCTGCATTTCGGTGCTGGGTGTGTGTGTATGTGAGGTGGGCTGGTGGGAGTGACAGGAAGGATTCCTTACCCAGGTTTGTTTCTTCTTTGCATGCTTTGCCTCTGATGCAGACAATGTCCACTCGCTGTATATCCTATTCCTGTATTCTTTACACATCTCTTTACCTCTCAGTAGCTAATCTCTCAACACTTCAATCTCCTGTTACAGTTAATGATTAAACTTTTCCTGTTTAAATCACCAAGCAATTTCTGTCTCATAATTGGAACTTGATGGACACAAAGAGCATTGAGAATAACTTCTTGGTATTTGGTTCGAGGAAATGGGTAAAAAGTGATGCGGTTTTCTGAGATGGGGAAGGCTACCGAGGGAAGGAAACCAGTGTTCTGCTCTAGCAAAGTTAAATTGAAGCTGCTTATTCTAAGTAGAGGTTTCAAGTGGGCAGTTTTATATATGTAGCTGGAACCTAGGAGGGAGGACAGAGTGAGAGATACAAATTGGTGAAGATTAGCATACAGATCACATTCAAAGCCACAAAACTGGCTGGGATTTTTAAGAAAGTGTAAAGAGAAAGGCAGGAAGGTTGCTGAGGAGGAAGCCCTGTGCACTCCAACCATTAGAAACTGGGGAGAAGAGGATGAATAGCAACTACATAGAAATGAAATACTTAATGAGGTAAGAGAAAACCCAAGAGCAGGAGACATTTTAGTAATTAAATGAGGAATTTTCCATAAAAAGAGATTGCTCAACTGCATCCTACCTTACTTTGAGATTGAATAAGCTGAAGACTCAAACTTAACCATTGAATTTTATAATTGGTACCATTTATGACCTTGACAAAATTGGTATGGTGGAGTCAGGCATAAAGGAAACTATGGAACTGGGCCAAGGGAATAATGGAAGGTGAGAAACTGGAAACAGAATGCAGCTTTGGGCAAATCGCCTAAGGTCAGGAGTTCGAGACCAGCCTGGCCAACTCGGTGAAACCCCTCCTCTACTAAAAAATACAAAAATTAACCAGGTGTGGTGGTGGGCACATGTAATTCCAGCTACTCAGGAGGCTGAGGCAGAATTGCTTGAACCCAGAAGGCGGAAGTTGCAGTGAGCCGAGATTCTGTCATTTTACAGCCTAGACAACAGCAGCAAAACTCCGTCTCAAAAAAAAAAAAAAAATGCAGGTGTTAGTTTTAAGAAGTTTTCTTGTAGAAAACTTATACAGGGAGGCAAAGCAATAGCATGGCATTTACTGGAGATGATGGGAGTGGTTTTGTTTAATTACTACAGTATCATTTATGCAGATGTGGATAGTTCAGTAGAAAGAGAGGAAATGATGGTGCGGGAGTCTGAGGCAACAGTAGCAGGGACAAAGTCCTGAGTGGATGAGAGAGGATGAGCTTTGTGGAATAAGTAGATATTTATGTACCAACACTCAAGATTTGGTTATTTCATAATTTTGGAGCATTTTTATTTCAAAAAAATATTTGCATTGATTGTTTAGGGTAGTGTCTTATATTTAAATGTCTTTAAAGGTTTTGTGGCTTTAAAACATCACGGCATACAAAACTTATTAATATCATGCACTAGAGTTGCTTTCATCATTTTCATTTAGCTCAATAAATCTGAAGTAAATATGTGAACGCTCATATTTTCTGGTAATTCTGCATGACTCTCCTTGGCAGGCTTGATGTTATTCTCATCATGCCCTTATGTGAATGTCTTCACAACAAAATTGATAGCATACACATTTTTACTCTGTCAGGTCTTTTTAAAACCATTCAAGACCAAGTGTGATGGCTCACACCTGTAATCCCAGCATTTTGGGAGACCGAGACGGGTGGATCACCTGAGGTCAGGAGTTTAAGACCAGCTTGGCCAACATGGTGAAACCCCGCCTTTACTAAAAACAGAAAAATTAGCTGGGCATGGTGGCACGTGCCTGTAATCCCAGCTACTTGGGAGGCTGAGGCACGAGAATCGCTTGAACCTAGGAGGCAGAGTTTGCAGTGAACGGAGATCATGCCATTTGCACTCTAGCCTGGGTGACAGAGTAAGACTCCATCTCAAAAAAAGAAAAAGAACATTCAAACACACTAACCAACTGATCTTTTAATATCCATAAAAGACAGAATTAATTTTAATCATCAAATATATCAAAAGTCAGGACTTTGAGAGAAATTCGATGTGTGTCTACTTATTTATTGTTTATAAGTAATTTCAATCTTTAATAAAACTTTATTTTTTAAAAAACTTTGACAGATCTTTCTGGAACAATGTGTCTTCTGTTGTTTACTGATAACAACAGCAGATACAGTACTTGTTTTGTGTCCGTGGTATACCAAGACTGACCAAAGGGCATCTAAGGCCAAATACTGGAAACTGACCAATATTATCAGGAAAATTGTCTGTGTGGTTCTTAGCACAACTACCCTCATGCAGGTTACATTATTATATTCCTATAAATGGTGTTTATAATATTTCTAGTACATTATGATATAATGAAAATAAGGTGAGTTATAAAAATATCTCTCTGAATATGTCATTAAATATATTTTACTTTAAGAAAAACTCAGTGCATCATCATTGCATCTCTTATTTCCCCGGAAAAACTAAATTTTATTATGGACCAGCACCTCTCATTTGTGGATTGCAGCTTACTTGGGGATCTACTGATATTGGGTGGGGGAGGTTTGTACACAAAGAAAGGGCAGTTTCTTCACCCCAGAATCCTTCTGGGTACACAGGGCTGACCACTTTACACAGGAAATTCATAACTATACAAAAGAAACTGCAGCTCTGGTAGAGCCTTTCATAATCCTTACAGCCTCTCTCCTACCCTTGGGCACTTACCACTGGGAACTGGTAATCCATCTTCAATTTTTACATTTAAGTGGAAGCCTCTAAGAGCACCTCGTGATAAGTAGATGCTGAGAAGAAGCCACTGACACAGTTGATAGGGAAAATTAAGGCTTGGCAATCTCTAATCATTTAGAAATACAGGAATAAGGGGAAAAATCTACATATGGCCAATAATCTGAACTACTCAGATGGTAGAAAGAGCATTGTTGAAAAGAATTTTCTGAATGAGACAGAAAGACATTGTAAACAGTACTGGTCAATATTAAACCACTCATAAAATGCAAAATAGATGTTTTCTGTAGAACTAGAGGTTAAATGTGATCTATGTTAATGGGTCGTGATAAAAACGGAGATGAGGCAGAAATTTAATTTTAGGAAAGTTTAGGAAATAAGGTTGTAAAACTAAATATGCAATAAAAATGTAAATGCCAAGCAAAATTTTGAAGATGGTTGTGACAGGAGGAGAGAGACAATGATTTCAGAACAGAAACTTGGCTCTCTTTCTAGTCTGACTAAGGAAATAGTGACATGGGTATTGAACCTAGAACAAGAGGCCCTCTTCCTGTTGTAAGAATCATGGAAGAAACGTTTTTCTAGATTCAGTGCTGAATGGATTATACTCTAAAAGAAAATGTAGGATTCGTCAGCAACTCGCCTCCTTAAAAGAGAATTTGGCCTCAAGGTAATCAAGTAGCATTCCTCTCCTACCTAGGGAAGACCCTGGAGTTGGAGAAGCAATGGCTTTGGGATGATAAACCTCGAGATGAAGAAGAAAATTCATCTCAAGTCTCTTTGTCTACCCAGGGGCATGCAGAGTAATTGGCCTGCTTATAGGGTTCTTAGCCATGATCCTTAAAACCAAAATCCAATAGGCGTTGCCTCCCATTTTCTGATATTTAGGCTGTGAAGGAAAATACTTAATACCTTTCCAATTGTTTTTCTTTCTATTAGAGGTAAACATTTCTCTTGCTGGCTTTTGTTGGACAAATTCTTTGCTCTTAAAATTCAAAGCGTTCTCCAAGGATATGTCCAGAGGTGAAGTGTTTTCCATTTGCTTTCCCGCTACTCAGTAGGTATCCTTGATAGGAGAACTGAAGTCTTTCTATGTCTCAGACTAGCATTTTGCTTTCTAATATTTTAACATTCTCCATCAGCTCAGTTCTTGCCTGTTAAAGTTTCCAACATGATTTTATATATATATATATATATATATAATCTAACTTGAAAAATCATTTATTGTGGAAAATACACATGACATGAAATCAACCATCTTAGCCATTCTTAAGTGTACAGGTCAGCAGTGTATCCCATTGTTAATCACAATGCTATGAAAAGAATGGAATTCTGAGAGGCAAAGGACAGCTCAGAAAATGGGGTACCCACTGGGCTGCGGTAAGAAGTCTGCTGTGTTATATCGAATTGAACGTCATTGGAGAGGAGGCCTAGATGTCTTTCCAGACCCTAAGAGTGCCAGCAGGCAGGTGCTGACTTCGGCAAGTGTCCACTCCTGACTCTTCCGACTTTTCTCTAAATTCCGAGGGATTCTTTTCTTATTTGACTTAGCAATAAGCTGGGGATATTTATCCAAACTCTTTGATCAGGTTGCCAGTGGTTATATCTTTGTAACCACACCTTGTTCTCCATGAAGTCCGAGGCCCAGATCAGCAACAAAGGGCAGGAATCATCTGTCGCTAATGACATAAACCAGTAGGACAAACTGCAAATGAAACAAACCATACTCTCTAGCACCTTCTTACCTCCTGTTCAAAGCTGTCTCCTTTGTTTTCTGCCTCAACTGTCCTGTCTTCCAAGAGCAGTCGTGTTAGCTCAGGACTCCGGAGCAAGGCTCACTCAAGTCCCCCCTGCTCTCAGCTAGTAGTTCTCTTACGCGGGTCTCATTTCCCCAGCAGCTGCTGCTAGGTCTTCAAAATCCCGTGGTTTCCAATACCCATGGGTGTCCCTTGGCGTATTGGAATCCCTGGGCGTTATCCCAGCAGTTCTGCCATCCCCGTGCCCCTTTACCAAGGAGCTCTCAATATCAACTATTTGCAAAATGCTGTAGTGGCCTCTACAACAAGAAGAGCTTCCTTGTTCCTACCAGTCCCAATAGTTGTGAGAGTCTTTGGCCTATGTCTCATAGAGGGAAGTGGGCAAAGTCTATCCGATCAAAGCTATGACAGCGTCACAAATTCTAACATCACACCAAAAGCCAATGACTAAGAATGGATTGGCCCAATACCCTCCTTCAGAAAAACGGAATTTCAACCCAACAATGAAGTTTTAATGTCAGCTTCACTGAGGATGATTTGGGGAAGCAGGAGGGATTTATCAGCACCTCTTGAATCACTTTACACAAAGTTCACTTCACCTGCAAGTGAAATAATCTTTTTCTACCTAATTTGTATGAAGTTGAGGAGGAAGGCAGGGGACTCAATGATCCTTTCACAGGAAAATTAAGAAATAAACAAAAGCCAAGTAATGTCCCTTTTAATGGGTGCCTGAAGAGATCTTTCTAACTGGGCCTCAAAAATTATTATGCCTGAGTTAAAAATCTGGTAGATATTGACCAAGAGCCAGTCTGAGAGTGGTGTGCCTCAGAAAAATGCATTTGTCTTATTAAAAAAGAAAATATATATGAGTATTTTCTTCACATTTTTCTAAAAGTTGCATTTAATTGCTGTAGAAGCAAAGGAAATAATTTAGAATTGAATGAAGATGAGATATTTCAAAAAGAGAAATACTTTTCCTGTTTATAGTGTTAACATTTATAAATTTCCCTCTTACACTATCCCTTCATGGTAGTTCAGTGGTTCTCAACTTTCTCAGACCCAATACCTTGCTTTTTATCACAATATTTGGTAATACTTCTACCATTCTAAAATAAAATAAAACTTACAGATAATTTTACCGTCTCAAAATGAAGTGTATGTGCTTTCTACACTAATAATTTAAACATACACGTTATTTTTATGCATCACGTTTTCACCGTAATATAAACGTGTAATGAAAAGAAAAGTTATCAATAATAAAACAGTATTAATTCAGTGCATAAATGCTCAGGCATAATCACATAAAGAGACAAAACGAGTCAGTCTGATTACATACACCTGTACGTAATAGCGCTTGAATGCAAATTGCTTACAGGTGTGTCGTGTCTTATGTTAATGTCATAAATGGTCTTGCTACTTATCAAGTCATTTCCAAAGGACTGAACCTGGTAAAATTCAGAGGAAACCAAAGTAAAATCTTTCTTCAATCCATGATCATTGCATTTCCAGAAAATTCAGAGAATTAAAGTTTTACAAAAAAAAAAAATACTGTGTGTTTATGAAAACTGGATAAAACCTGATAACTGCTCTATTATGATCATATGTTTCACGGCATTAATATCCAATAGAGCATTCAAATACAGAGCAAGGCCTGGTAGTTCTTTATTGTATAGACAATTATGTGCAAGGCAAGATGTCTATTTCTTGGCTCCTAAATATGAACCCTAGCGCTCTCCTATAATGGTGATATCCAAAAATGGCCCTAGAGGCCAATGTCACCCCCAGTCCCACATGAGATTCATTTCTGTATTGATTAGAGACAAAGAACAGGAAAACTGAAATTTTTCTAATTGCTCCGTAAATACTGATGAAAAAGATATTTTATTATTATGGAATATTGTATTTTTATATTTTGAGTAACATTTCTAATAAGCCCTTTGTTATGATGTGTGAAAATAACCTAGTGTTATATTAATATTATAACAGACTAATACAGACATTAATTCTTTTGAATTGCCTGACCTCAAGATATCTAAAATCTGGAAGAGAGTATGATATAATCTACAAGATAACGAAATTCTCACAAATACTTTTAATTTCTTTTTTTAAAGCATATTTATAGGTATTATAAATTTTCTTGAAAAAACTATCAGAGGTCTTAGTAATTGTCCTGTAAATTTTATGGTTCAAAATGAGAAAAAAAAAATGTAGAAAATAAATGAGTAAAAAGACAAGAAAAAGGAAATATTACTTTTTTAAAAAAGGACAGATGAAAGAATGTGTAAAACAGAAAATATACAAAAACAAGTCATATTTGAACTATATTGCTACTTTTGCTTCCTCAGAATTAATTTATATGGTTCAGTAATTTTAGCGACCACAGAAATTCACAGGGATATTTCTTATTCATCTGAGAAATTTGTGAATCCACAGAGTGATAATAAATTAAGAAAAACTTTTAAATTCTAAAGATACACCTTAATAAAAAAAAGTTCCCTTAATTCATTCAGTTATTTTATTCATATTACTAATTACTTCAGGCTTTGTGAAGCATTAAATACGAAACTGGATCAGATGCTGGGAAAATTTTTAGAGGATAAAACATTGAGGGCAATAGAAGGATGGGCAGGAGGAAAAAAAAACAAGCAAAAACCCACAAGCCTGTGTATCAACAGTCATAGATGTCCTTAAAATAAAATCAGTTTAACATGCCACATGTCACAAGTTATTAATAAGATTTTACAGAAAGTAACTCAGAATTTGGAAAAAATCCAAATTATTTTATTATGATGATTTTAAACTTTTAAGTTCAGGGGTACCTGTGCAGGTTTGTTACATCGGTAAACATGTGTCATGGGGATTTGTTGTACAGATTATTTCATTAGTACCCAAGTATTAAACCCAGTACCCAAGTATTAAACCCAGTACCCAAGTATTAAACCTAGTACCCAAGTATTAAACCATTTGTTATTTTCCCTATATTTTAAAGGATTATTATTTTATTACTTTCAAGTATATTTTATTTATCCATTCTTTAAATATTCAGAAAACCTTCTTCATGCAGTCTAATCTCACAGAGTCTAAAGTAATGGCTTTCTGTATACTTCTCAAAAGTCCTCTTTTAAAAACACAGTTTTCATTTGTTTAAAAACATGTAATTTTAAGGGTGGAAGGGAACGCTAAAGATTTCAGTATAACTTTCAGGCCCCACTAAAAGTCTTAATTAACTGTGGCCCAGGACATCTAGAAATCCTCTCAAAAAACAGAAGAGAAAAAAACTTTAATCACTTCCCTTGGGAACTCATTTTAATGCATACCAGCACATTGGTCAGGAATATTCTCTAAATTACAGTTTCACCATTACGTAGACACGTCCAGTAAGCCTTCAAATGGTTTTTGGAGCAACATGCAATTGGTGAGATTGAGGGAGTTGATCGCATGTCCTTAAATGATCTTTTACAGGACAAATATAAAAAACCTTGTTATAACAGAAGGCCGTGAGTTCTTTTTCACTTCATTTCTAAATAGATGACTTCCCACCAGAGTTATGATACCCTACTAATATTTTTTTACCATTTCCCCCCCTTATCGGTTTTTATCAGGATGTGAGATGAATGGGATATAGAATCTGGATAGCCAAGGAGAGTTTGTGTCTTTGGAGCTGGGTCGTGGCCAGGATTTACTTACCTAAGGTGAAGTGGGATGAAAAGAACTAAAGGTCTGAGTCCAGTCTGAAATCTAAGAAGAAACCATGCTTCAAACAGAGGCAATTAGAATGAACTAATGAAACTCTAAAACTCTTAAGACCTATGTCGCCTGGATGGATGGGCCACACAGGCATTCTGTATTGGAAAATAATGTAATATTCAACTCCAGGTAGATTCAGCCTCACTGGTCTTTGTCTGGGCATCACTCATAATGACTACATGAGGGCTCTGACATTTTATAGTCCTTTTGTTTTGGGTAGATCAAGGCCTGGTTTTTTTATCAAGTAATGAAATACCATTCTTACCGTCTCTATACCCATTTACCCATTTTTATAAAGGAAGCAAATATGAATAACATAGTTTGTGGCTAACGGCACAAAACACAGTTCCATAAGTCAATTATCTTTTGCTTAAACCAATGGCTTCCCCCAAAGACAAAGAGAAGCAAATCATAGCAACTAATTGCAGTTACACTCAAGAAGATTTCATTATAAAATGCAACATTGCTGTTACAGGCATTGGAGTGTGTCACCACATTCAAGTAATAGATCCTAAAGAACTGGTAGGGAAGGAAACAAACAAGGATGATCCCTATAAAAAACAGGTTTTTCAGTTGAGCCCAGAACTCCTGGTGGGATAGTAAGGAGTGGCGTAGCTTCTGCACCATAAACATAATGATGACAATCTGGAAGACCAAGAGAGTCACAGCAATGGCTATGACAAAAGTGACTATCATATAGTTGATGACTTTCACATGCACGTGAGCAAGCTCTTTGTGGAATTTGAAACAGTGCTTCTCATTGTATTCCTCATGACTTCCATACCGGGAGATGACCACGGGTACCACAATGACAATCACCAGGGTCCACATGCCAGCACTGGCAGCCACAGCATGCAGTTTTCTGTAGAATTCCACTTTGTCTCTGCGCTTGAAGAAGATGAGGTACCTGGTGACCAGGATCACCACATAGAACAGGAACGTGAGGTACATATGGATGTGTAGCATAGCACTCACGAATTTGCAGAAGGGCAGCCCAAACGTCCAAGTCTCCTTGATGAGGTAGGTCAAGCGAAATGGCACTGTCAGCAGAAAAACGCTATGGATCACCACCAAGTTAATGACCGCCATGGTGGTCACTGACCGGGTGTTCATTTTCACCAACAGGAACAGAATGGAGATGACACCCACCAGCCCTCCAATGAGCACTACGAAGTAGAGGCTGATTAAGTGGGGTGTCAGTATAGGATCACAAGAGGAATTCCTCGAGGTATTGTGGCCAGCCATACTTGGGAAGTCACCTGGAGGAGACAAAGCACCAGACAAGCTTTCAAAGCTTTGTAACTGACATTTTTTTTTTTTGAGACGGAGTTTCACTCTTGTTGCCCAGGCTGGAATGCAATGGCGCCATCTCAGCTCACCGCAACCTCCGCCTCCTGGGCTCAGGCAATTCTCCTGCCTCAGCCTCCTGAGTAGCTGGGATTACAGGCACGCGCCACCATGCCCAGCTATTTTTTTGTATTTTAAGTAGAGACAGGGTTTCACCATGTTGACCAGGATGGTCTCGATCTCTTGACCTTGCGATCCACCCGCCTCGGCCTCCCAAAGTGCTGGGATTACAGGTGTGAACCACCGCACCCAGCCTGTAACTGTCTTCTTTATAGCACTGACACTGTGGCTTTGTCATTTATCTGCTTACATGATATAAACTTTACATGCTTTCAGAATGAAAATGTCCTATGAATGTTTGCATACCCTAGACCCAAAACACAGTAAGCCATTGATTCTTAATCTTTAATAGAAATAAAAATCAAATCTTAATCTTCAAGTTGCCCCCCAGAGACACGCATGCAGATAAGACAATTTACATACAACTTCGGGAGGATTGCTGACCACCTGGAGCTCATACGTGGATACTAGTACCACGGCAACCCTTTAAAAAGTTGTAAGATGGATAGAAAGATCAGTGGATGCATGAAGCGTACTATTGTTTTTCTTGTGGGCATGATTGTAATTCTCTAATTCTTTCATACTTATTAACAAACAACCCAAGAATATTCACACTTAATTCATTTAGAATACTGATTAATTTGACCATAAAAAAATCATCTCAGTCAAGGCAGCAGCAAGCAATAGGAAGGTTTACCTGAATTTCTCATTATAGTTATGTTATCATCCAGCAGTGAGGCCTTGCTAAGCCTTTCCAATGGGCCCCACTGAAAATGCAGCATGTCTCCCAAGCCTCCCATCTCTTACCCTCAAAGGTCTTGCAAATTCATGGCAGAGCCATTGTCATTTCTCCTCTGGACTCCTGAGAGATCCTCTCCACAAATACTCTCAGTCCTTTCTATTTCATTCACCGTATTCTTATTCATTACTTGCTATAAAAGATTTCATAATCTTTTAATTTCACAAAGAAGATCATGGCAGGTTTTCTGTCTAAATCTCTTCAGTGGCTTCCCATCTCTTCTAAGAAAAGATTGATAGCTTTATATGTCTGGAATGTTCTGGGTTACAGTGGCAAAATCCAATCCCTTGACACAAGATTCAAGCAATAATCAAGAGAAGAAATTGGCAGGTTTTAATGGATTTGATACAGGGAAATGAGGAAAAAAGAAGTGTCTTGATACTCTCAGATTTCTGACTTGAACAATCGTGTTATTAGAGGTATGTTTACCGACATCAGGGAGCCTAAGATTTGAGAAAGAACAGTAATTGAATTATGCGCTCACTCCCTAATCTTTGTAACACATATGCAATTATTCTTATTCATTTATTGAATGTCTCTACTTACAATGGAATATTACCCAGCAACAAAATGAACCAACTCCTGATACACACACTACTCATGAATCTCAAAAACATTATACTCAATCATGTATTCTCAATGGGGCAATAGCGCCTCATAAGGGGCAAAACATTTTGAGGTGTGAAAAAATATCTTACTCTGTATAAAGCCCAGTTGAATATACAGCACGTAGACATATAGATATATCTGTGGTATCAACATTTCATAAAAGGGAGAGAGACAATTAGGGAAAAGATTAATTAGAGGACTGTAACAAACACAGAAAGTTGAGAAACCTTACTAAATGAAAGATACCAGCCACAAAGACTATATATTTTTTATATGATTTCTTTTTCTTGAAAAAGCAAAACTAATAGACAAAAAGCAAATCATTTAGCCCAAGGTCTGGGCTGTGGGAAAAAGGAGTGGTTTTCGTTTTATATCATGTTAGTTACTATTGTAGTCATTCATAAAAATTCATTGAATCGTATGCTTAAAATTGGTTATTTTATTGCATTGGTTATTTTATTGTAACTTATACAATAAAAATTTTTTAAAAAGATAAAAATAACCCAACCTCAGGGAGCCTTCTGTATTTGTGGGCATGGAATACAATTTCAAGGAATTGTGACTCACTTAACTTGACATTTTTTTGTTGGCTCTGCCACGGCTGTCTCATGTTATACTGTGCAATCTCTCTACTTGCATTTTATTTTTCCCTGTAGAAAAGTAGTTTTATCAAGGACACATGAAATTATATTGTGTTCACATGTGAGTCAAGAATGAATGTGCCACCATAAGTTCTTCTCGCCATTTCCTCTGGCTATTGTCCTAGTAGGACTGACTCCTAATTGAAGAGAGTAAAGTAGGCAGCGTTATCACTTGCCCCAAGTCCTCGTTCTTGTTATAAACTGCCATGATCATTGCCAGATTCAGAAACACATGTGAAACATCTTCTGTGTTTCAGGTCTACGCTGCATCCTTGCCTATATTTTGTCTTATTTAATTTAACGCTTACAACAGTTCTATGAATTGTGTAATGTACTTTTATACTGAATTTCAGATGACAAAACTGAGCCTTAGCAGAATGAGTCATTTGACCAAGGTGTCCAAAATACACACTCCCCAAAACTCTTTATTATACATTATGGAGAAGCATTGTGAATATCCTAAGTCCAAGTTTCTAAATCTTAATGCAAAAAAGAAAGGAAGCTATGACATTTGGTTCTACTCCCATGGCTGTAAGCCAATATATCTTGCTTTTCTCTCTTTTTGGATTTCCCTTCACTTTATTTTCCCATTCCCCTCACTTGGTTTATAGTCAGTCTTATAAGTTAGTTCACTCAATATTCATCCAAACCCTTTCTGGACTGCTTTTCTATACAAACATTTTGCATCTAGAGTGCTTGTATGTGCCTTAGTTTCTGCTAGTCTGTTGCCCTATTGCAAAACTTGGAGGCAAAAGTGAGCCAAATGAGGGATGTCAACATGCAGAGATTAGATCAGAGGTGTCTAATCTTTTCGCTTCCCTGGGCCACATTGAAAGAAAATAATTTTCTTGGGCAATATAGGAAATACACTAACAATAATGATATCTAATGAGCTAAAAAAGAAAAAGAAAGAAAGAAAGAGAGAGAGAGAAAGAAGAAAGAAAGAAAGAAAGAGAAAGGAAGGAAGGAAGGAAGGAAGGAAGGAAGGAAGGAAGGAAGGAAGGAAGGAAGGAAGGAAGGAAAAGTTTTTTTTAAAAAAACACATAATGTTTTAAGAGAGTTTATAAATTTGTGCTGGGCTACATTCAAAGTCGTCCTCGGCCTATGGGAACATGTTGGATAACCTTGTTGGATTAGACCATCTGGCAACACAGTAGTGGGATTATCTGGTTCCTCTGGGACTGCTGTAATAGAATCCTGCATTTCAAATACTAACATGATATATTACACATAATTTCAGTAACATTTTACACTAAATGTAAATAAGCAGTCCAATTAAAAGATAAAGATTGTTATACTGAATTAAAGAAACAGGATCCAGCTACATAGGGCTTACAAAAGACATTTTAAATATAGGAAAGTGATATAGGAAATACAGGAAAGTGATATATTCATTATGATATTTCCTTTTTATTTCAAATAATTTTTCCTTGAGATCAATTTCTTGATGCACTCGAGCTTTTTTGTTTAGTGTGTGTACCTTGTATCTTCTTCCTTTTTTCTTGCAATCTTTATGATTATTATATTTAAATTGTGTCTTTAGTGAATAGAAATTTTGCCTCTTCCTTATTTACTCACTCCCTTCTTATAGTGTTCATGCATTTTATTTCTACCTGTCAATTAAACCCACACAATATTATTGTACTGTATCATTAACATTCAATCACTAGTCATTTATTTTTGTCCATTTAGTTTTCTTATTCACTGATTTTTATACCTTCAATTTCTGTGTTTCCCTTGGATATAACTTTCCTTCTACTGAAGAACTCCACTTAAAATTTCTTTTAGTACAAATTTCTTAGGGATAAATTCTCTAAGCTCTCGTATGTGTGTATCTGGAAATGTTTTCATTTCATCGTTATTTTTAGGATATATTTGCAAGGCATAAAAGCTAAGGTTGGCATTTCCTTTCAGTACTTTAAAGATGTTATTACATTGTCTCCTGCTTTTCATCACTGAGACTTCAGTTGTCAATATTGCCATTGCTTTTATTAAGGTGGCATGTCTTTTTTTTTTTTTTTAAGATTTTTTTTGCCTGGTTGTTTTTTTTTTTTTCCCCTCTGTTTATACAGTTTGGGGTTCTTAAATTTATAGGTTAATGTCTTTTGCCACTTTTGGGAAATAATTGGTTTTACTCCTGCAAATATTGCTTTGTCCTAATCTGTTATCTCCTCTTAAACTTCAATTACAGTTATGCTAGACATTTTAACCGTTTCCCTTCTGTCTCTACTTTTTTCTGAATTTCATATACATTTCATCCGTCTTGTCTTCCCTTCTTCCATTTGGATATATTTGGAAACAGAGTCTTGTTCTGTTACCCAGGCTGGAGTGCAGTGGCCTGATCTCAGCTCACTGCACCTCTGCCTCCCAAGTTCAAGTGATTTTCCTGTCTCAGCCTTCTGAGTAGCTGGGATTATAGGTATCCACCAAAATGCCCAGCTAAGTTTTGTATTTTTATAGAGATGGGGTTTCACCATGTTGGTGAGTCTGGTCTCAGACTACTGACCTCAGGTGATCCGTCTACCTCAGCCTCCCAAAGTGCTAGGGATACAGGCGTGAGCCACCACGCCCATCCTGGATGTATTCTTGATCAGTACTTTTATCTCCGGCTGTTTCTATTCTGCTGTTAAACCAACTAGAGTTCTTAATACCAGACATGAAATACTTTTAATTCTAGGATGTGTAAGTCTTATACATTCTACTTTGGGAAATTCTCATCTATTTCATTTTCTTCATCTTTCCTTAGATTTATTGAATACTTTAATCATAGTTACTTCAAAAGACTTTTGTAGAACATTTGTAGATATTTTTCTATTATATATTTGCAGATGTATTTCTATTGTATGTTTTGTTATCTCTCGGTTTTCCACTATGTGATCTTATCCTTTGATATATCTAGTAATTTAGTAGTAAGTTCTGAATATTTTTCTTACAAAAGGTAGTGGTCCCAAGTAATGTTCTTTTCCTTGAGCAGGGCCTCCTATCTGCCGTTATACTAATGTTATTTTGAGTCAAGCCCTGTTTGCAAGGCTTAGTGTACTTCCGGGTCTCCTTAGTCCCCTCTGTACTTTCAACTCTAGTCAATAGTCTTATCTTTGACCTCTTTTTCTGATGAATCTGGCCTGACTTCAAATCCTGGTCTTATAAAACTACTGACATCTTTGCTCTATTTTTCAGATGTTTTAAGGCTTAGGATTTTAGTCTCCCATCCCGCAGAGCCCCAGAATTCACCAAAATATCCTTATGCATTGGTGAAGAAATTGAATTCTCAGCTATGAATTTAAAAAGCTACTGTGGTAAAAGAAGTTGGTTTGAGCTTTTCTCTCCTCTGGAGTCAGGGCCTCTTCACTGATTGCCTCAGCTGTGCTCCACTGTCTTCGAGCAAGTAACTTCTGTATTTTACTTTATTTGATTTCTTCACTTATTCCTGGTGGGAGCTCTGATCAGATGATCAACCCTTTATCCCATGAAGATGCAGAAGCTAATGCAATTTTCAATGCTTCAGTAGTGCAACAGATTCTTATAGTCTTGAAATTAATTGAATGAGCAAGAGAAAGGTAACTTCCTCCTCAACATACAAAGATCAGTTCCCTAATTTTATAAACTTCTTTCATGATGTAAATGTGTTGTCATAGTATGATTTGTACGTTTTAAAGTGCACCATCTGATCCCTGCTTACAGCAGCCGCAGTCTGTAACATCTTACCTTCACTCAAGACCTCAAACTCTTGTTTGCACCAACACCTCTTCTCTTCCCTCCCCAGCCACCTACTCATCCTTCAGGCCTCAAGTCTATGATCAGTACTTTAGGGAATTTCCTCTGACTTCCACAATAGATAGAATATACTTGGCCTTCTCTTTCAGAAGATAACTCAGAGAATTCCTACACTACATGAGATCTACCTAACCTTCTCTTTTCTTCTCTTAAGAGAAAAGCATCACCTCTACGAAGCCAATTGAAGAATCACTTGGGTAAATAGGTGCTGGCTGCTGGTATTGTCCCTGTTCCCCCAGGTTATAAGCTCCCCGACGACAAGGACTGTGCACAGTTTTATTCTTTTCCACTCTTGCATCCATAGCAAAAGCCAAAACATAGAAGATAGTCTGTAAATACAACGTGAAGGAGTAAGTAAATATTCATAACATGTAGCTAAGGGAACAGTGCATTCCTTCAATTCTTACTCCTGCTACTGTTTGAAGCGTTACCGTGAACAAACTGCTTAACCTCTCTGAGGCTTAGTTCTGTCATCTAAAATGCAGATAAGCTCTACCTACCTCATATAGTTATGGGACAAACTAGACGATTTATGCCAAATTAAAACAAGAGACCACATGATAAGTAATATTAATGGATTGATTGATTAGTTGAGGCAGAGTCTTGCTTTGTTGCCCAGGCTGGAGTGCAGTGGCGTGATCCTGGCTGACTGCGGTCTCGATCTTCTACGCTCAAGTGATCTTCCCACCTAGCCTTCCCAGTTGCTAGGACTGTAGGTGTGCACCATCTCGCTGGCCTAATTTTTGGATTTTTTACATAGAGAGGGTTTCACCATGTTGCGCAGGCTGGTCTCAGACTCCTAGACTCAGGCAATCCACCCGCCTTGACCCCCCAAAATGTTGGGATTACAGACATGAGCCACCATGCTCAGCCAGTATTGATTAATGCATGAGGTAAGTACCCAACGTAGGAAGTAGAAAACATCTTCTAGGGGTATTTTGAACATCATCTTTTGGCTGCAAGATTTCTGCAAATGTCTGCTTTTCTAAGAGGACTAGCAAGTTGGCAATAACTGGAATGATAACTGTGAGGAATGCTAATCCTACAATTCTTTTCCATGGCTTTCCTCATCCACGTCCCTGTTCCATTTGCTGGGACAAGTCACCATGTGTTATGGTGACATCACAGTTATTCCCAGGATCTGAGGCTTCTTCCTGTACCAAAACCGAGGACCCAAGCTATTTATAGGAACATTCCTTGCAAGGCTGTGTGAGAATAAAAGCACCTTTAGCTATAGAAAAGCAGCAAAGCACATAGAGCCAAGTCCATGTCCTCCCTGCCCCGACCCATCCAAGTACTCTGTGTTACTTGTTCTTGACTTGTCACCCGATATCTGGTTTTGGCCTTACCTGACACACTGGCTTACTTCCCACCAGCTCTCTGGATCAGACTCAGCTGTCTTGATTGTTCCTCAGGCAAACCCATCTTTCTGAGTTTAAAGCCTGGTTTTCCCTTCTAGGAAATGCCCCTTCATGTTTCAGCTCCCCCATTTATTCTTGCTCCTTTCCTGTGACCACATCTCCACCTCAAGTTTTGGAGTAACCTTCTCCCAATCAGGAAGGGTTTATCCATATCTCAGGAGATTCTGCCTGAACCATTGCTGTGCCAACCCTCTCCTTATGCCCATCTAGCTCTTGTAAAGAGTTCTGCTCTGCTCCTCTGTGACAGCTCTATTACTGAGACTCCTTGGTGGTGCCGTTTACCTGCTTATTATCTTCATAACCTATTTATTGTCCCTATACTGTAACCTTGAGGGTCAACTTCCATGATCCCACCTGCCTCTGATCACTTGTCCTGAGACTGAGTCCTGATAGGTTTTCCAGAAGCTGCCTTTCATTTCGGCCTGAACCCAGCATGTTGCCAACTTCTAAATTTCTTTTTTATTGTGGTCTGCCACACTTAATCAGAATACTGTGCAAGATTTTCAGTTGACCTGCCTCAAATTGCAACTTCTCCATTCTGCCCCACGAACTACCGCTAAAATAATCCTTCTGCTAAACCATGAACTCTCTCAATCGGCCTGCTGGGGGCACACCCTCGAAACTCACCACTCTCAAGGGGAAGGGCTCTGACTTCAACCTAGGTAATAGATTGTTGCAAAAGTAATTGCCGTTTTTGCCATTACTTTGAACCTAACAACAAAAAGAGAAAAATGTTGCAACAAGTCGAGATCATACCACTGCACTCCAGCCTGGGTGACAGAGACACCATTTCAAAAAAAAGAGAGAGAGAGAGAAAACAAAGAAGAGGTTAGAAACTTCTTTCTTCCTCGAGTTTGCATCTTTTAAAATAAAACTACCGGCCGGGCGCGGTGGCTCAAGCCTGTAATCCCAGCACATTGGGAGGCCGAGGCAGGTGGATCACGAGGTCGAGAGATCGAGACCATCCTGGTCAACATGGTGAAACCCCGTCTCTACTAAAAATACAAAAAATTAGCTGGGCATGGTGGCGCGTGCCTGTAATCCCAGGTACTCAGGAGGTTGAGGCAGGAGAATTGCCTGAACCCAGGAGGCGGAGGTTGCGGTGAGCCCAGATCGCGCCATTGCACTCCAGCCTGGGTAACAAGAGCGAAACTCCGTCTCAAAAAAAAAATAAATAAATAAATAAAATAAAACCACCTTCCTCTTTAGTTTGCTTCTCTCTACAAGGCACTTGCTCCTTTACTGCCCCGTGGAGACCCCTTCATCTCATGCAATGAGCACCCTACTTCCAAGATGGCTTCCCAGCATCTCAAAGCCAAGCCAGAGCTAGGATGGGGCCAAAAGGAGGAAGACAACGAAGAAGTAAAGGCTTTCAAGATTCACAGCTAATAAGTAAGGCCGGAAAGAATAATTGTTTCCTAGTGAGACAAAAAGATTATATATTTTGTATAAGAAATAGTCCTTTGCATATGAGATACTATTCTAGGGATTGATGGGAATTTTTAATCATTTGACCTAAATTTGCTCTCTCCTTTTCTTTCAGAGATGCCTAGCTCTCTCATGTACATGACTTGCTTGCCCCCATGACTATATCCAGTGCCCCACCAGCAGAGCGGGACAATCACCTCCCTACCTGTGCAGGTACAAGGGGGATGGGTGCATATTCATAACAGCCTGTTCTCGAATCCCTGAGAAGAGATGGGTTCGCAGGATCAATATCCTGATTTTATCAATATCACATTAAAGAAATGTATTCTCCAAATTGAAGATGATAGACTGGACAAAAAAAATGTGGCACATGTACACCATGGAATACTATGTAGCCATAAAAAATGATGAGTTCGTGTGCTCTGTAGAGACATGGAGGAACCTAGAAACCATCATTATCAGCAAACGAACACAAGAACCGAAAACTAAACACCAAATGTTTTCACTCTTAGGCGGGTGATGAACAATGAGAACACGTGGACACAGGGAAGGGAGCAACACTCACAGGGCTAGCTGTGGGGGGAAGGGGAGGAGAGGGAGGAGACAGTGGTGGCGGACAGGGAGGAGGGGGAGGGATAACACAGGGAGAAATGCTTGATGTAGACAATGGTGGGGGGGATGGAGACAGCAAACCACCATGGCATGTATGTACTTATGCAACAATTCTGCAGGATGCAGGACATGCACATGTACCCCAGAGCCCAAATACAATAATAAATAAATAAATAAATCTGCAGGTAATTCTCATTCAAATTTTAATTTTAGCACTGTCATATTTATCCTCCAGGGAATATTCCTTTGTACAGTGGTTTATTTCAATGGCAATTAATAGCAACATCAATTCAACCAAAGTAAACATATCTGTTTGAACTTAGACTGTTAAATATTTCCTAGTCTATTAATTTATGTGTCTGTTAGAGTTGGATGCCCACAAAGAATGAAGGAAATTTCGAGCCTTTTCGCAAAATGGAAAGTTCAAAGCTTAACAACCTTGAAAGGAAATGTCTTCAACGCTAAAAAATTGAGCACATACAAAAATGATAAATGCTGCTCAGAAATACTTCCAATGCCTCACTTCAGAATAATAGCTTGCTGTTTTGAACAGTCCCTGAGACTGTGGGAAAGCCAAGAGAATGTCTGAGAGACACAGTGAGCTGTCGAGCAGTAAGCCTGCCAGGTATGAGACAGACAGGCCTGAGAGGCAAACACCATGGCCATGGCCGTGCCCTGGGGCCATGGAACAAGGCAGCCAGCACTCACAGTCACAACAGCAAGTGTAAGTGTAACTGATGGCTTTGACATGTGTTATATACAGAACCTGCCACGTGTGGTCAAAACCAACTCTTGCAGGTAAGAAATGTGCAGGCTCTGATCAAATGAAAAGCTCTGTTTTCCTGGATGCCAACTTTAGATGATGTATGCTTTGATTTCTTAATATTCAGGTTCAGGTTTTGAAATTTATCCTGAGCTCTGGGACACAGACACTTTGAAGAGAAAACAACTGAAGCTTACGAAGTGCCCAGGATAGACTGTTTGAGACACACTCATTATTATTAAGTGTGAAGATCCACCTCACACTGAATTTTATAGAAAAAAACAGCATATACCCTAGCTCAGAATTTGGGACACAGTAGGTGTCAAGTACTTCTGTAATGATTCAGTATATTCATGAAAGAAAGAAGGAGAGAGGGACATCAAGAAAGTGGGGGAGAAAAAGAGAGAGGAGAAAGGTGGAGAAAAACGAAGAAAAGGAATAAGAAAAAGAAAGAACAGAAGAAGAGGAAGGGAAAATAGGAGAGTAGGCTCTGAGGGTCCCAGCCAGCGATGCTGGTGTCATAATCAGGCATTGAACTGACCCTAATATTTTCCTGGTTCAAATGTCTCAGTTATTCTCCCAGCTGATTGTCCAATGCACTTTGCCAAGGAATGCAGCTGATCCCAGGAAAACCTGAAAGTAGTTTCTGCTTCCATGGAGACAATCCACTCCAAATACAAGAAGCCAGGGAATTTTTAAAAACAACGTTAACAAGTTATTTGTTGATGCTATTTAGATATTTCACCTATGTATCTTTGCTGCACTTTCTCTTCCCAAAATACTCCCCCATTCACACACTCTTGCACATCTTTGAGGTGTCAGCTCAGACTGAACTTTGTTCCAGGCCCTTCAGCCCCACCGGGACATTCTCAGTTCTTTCTCAAAATGCTTTACAGGTGCCTCTCAGTCCTTCCTTTGTTGTCGTATTAATTTCTCTGTTTCAATTCTTTATTTTAGTCGTTTGTGGACTTGTTTTTAACTTTGAACTTCTTGCAAACCTAGCATAATTTTTTTTAAAATAGTGGGCATGAGTTGTTAACTGAATGGTGAAATAATGGTGAAAAAGTGCCTTGACTGGATTAACCGTGTTTTGGATACAGCCACATTTGGATCTTGACTGATAACTGGTGTCAGAATCCCAGAAATGAACTGCAGACCCAGAGCCAGCCCTCTCAGGGGGGCAAGGCTGCCTCTCTGGCTGGCTGTGGGATCTCCTTGCCCACATGCGGATGCCCTCTTTACCACTGCAGTTGACCTTGGAAGGTCATCATGAAGCCTTGCCTCGAACTCTCATTTTCCCCTGCCCTCCTATCACGTCTGTGCTTAAAATCCTTCTTTGGCTCCTGTTAGAGAAAAGAATAAACTCTAAGTGCCTACCATGACATGTGAGCCCTTTGTGAGCTGGCCTCAGCTTCTATTTCAAGGCACACCTCCTCTCTAACCCACTTCCTTCAGCCTCATCCTATGACTCAGACTTACCTGCCATTCCTGGAATGTTCTCTATTATACCACCAGCTTGTTTCTTATTTGTCTAGGCCCCAAATGCACAGCTAAACAACTAGACTACAGTCCAAATGGCATCATCAATGATTTCAATTCTCTTTTTAAAAACTTTCCCTGGCCTCGCATTGTCGATGGGAGCTGTGGACACTGATATATTAGCTAGCCTGACATACGAGACCGGGTCTTGCTGGTCTTCGCAGCTCTAAACAAGCCTCTCCCCTATCCTGGTGCACCGGGATTCTCCCATCCTGCCTGCATGATTCCAGTCTGATCTCATCCCACACACAAGAGAGCTCCTCAGATCTGCCTGAAGCTTGCCTATTGGCTATTCCCTTGTATTTTACCAATTCCTTTCCGAAAACCTTGCTCACAGCCTTGCTTGGGCCTCGGTGGTTATTTTCCATGGCCTAAGGACGACGTCAATGTCAGAAGTGTGATATGGAAGTGGTTTCTGTGGCTGTTTTGTAAATACCCTATGGTAAAGCCAACATCGGAGACCAGCCTAGAAAGTGAGAATCCTACACAATTTGTAGAACCCTACAAAATAACATTAAATAATCCAAACTCTCATTAGCATGTAGACCTTAGCCACCAGAGCCCCTGCCCTCATCATTTTAAAACAAACTAGTATAACCTACTTTGGGATGTCTTACTTCATTCATTAAACAAATGATATCACTCTAAGTGTCTATTTTCCAATAGGTAGCTAAGATTCCGAAGTGAATAAAACACATTCCCGCATTTAAATCTTCTGTTTGGAAGGAGAGAAAGAGGCACATCAATTATTTACAGAAACACCTACAGGTAAGTGAAAAATGCTGCAAGAATTCAGAACGAGCAGTAGTTATTTAAGATGTACTGGAGGAGGATGGCATCAAAATAAATAAAAGATGCTTGAGTACAGATATGTAGCAATTACTGGATCTTGAAGGATGCATTGAAGTTCTGGATGCAGAGAGGAGGAAGTAAAGCACTCCAGGGAAAGAGAAGATTCTGGGAAAAGGCCTGGATGTGCATTTGGAGAATTACTAATAGTTTGCTGTGCTTGAAACATTCGACACACGAGAACGTGGGTGAGAATCTGTAGATGAGGCATGTTGCCATTCTAAGGATTTTCCATTTTATTCTGAAAATTATGAGGGATGCAGAGAACTTTAGAATACTAAATGACATCTCAATATTTTAGTTTTGAAAGCTTGTTTTGGCAACAGAATGAAGAGTTGGAGAAGGATTATTCAAGTTTAAATGTTATAAGGGTTGGAGAAGTTGGCACTCACCTAGGAGAGTGTGTCCCCAAATCAAACAGAAATTGAAGAGTCTGGGCTTGGAAAAGGAAACTACATGCTTCAGGTACCTCCATCCACAACGGGTGACATCTTCATATCACATTCAAAGGTAAGAAGACAAGGAATAGTCACTGGACATTTTAAGAAAGCTAATGCCACATTAGATGGATACCAAATTTCCCAGACAAAAGAACTAACAGACGCGTTGCTTTGCCAAGAGGGCAAAGTGGAGAAAAGGATCTTTACATGTGCTCAGAGAGAAGAGAATGGTGTGAAATAAAACTCAGAGTTGTTATTTTAATTAAAATGTACCAAACCACACAATCAGTGAGCTTGTAGGAAGGTTGAGAAGACTCCCACAGATAGAACCAAAAAAGGCCAAGAGATGGAAGATTTAAAGGAAAAGCTAAGAAAAACCTGGAACAAAACTATTAATAGAAGTTCCAACATCATCTGGAGACGGCAAAAGAAAATGAAATGCTCAGATAAATAATTAAAGGACGTTTTCTACACACACAAAAGATAAACGATTCATGTTGAAAGGTCCCACCCAGTGCCGAGTCAAACTACTAGAAAAGACTCACATTTAAACACATAAAGATGGAATTTCAAATCACAAAGAACAAATTCACACATCCACTGGTGGTGTAATAAACGTGTCAAACTTAGTATATTACAGGCTGAACTCCTGTGACCCAGATATACACATAAACTTCTTCCTTGCAAAGTCCTTGCAGTTTCACTAGTAATCCTAACTCTATTTTCTACTTGCATAAGTAAAAAACCTTACAGTTATCCCTAATTCCTTTTTCTCCCCTAATTCACCTCCATTCTTTCAGCAAATTCTATCCCCTGTCTCTCATATTAGTCCACATACAGTCCCTGGACCAGATTTATTCTATAAAGGCTTTTGTAAAATAAAGGATATTACTGGTGCACTTAACCGAATATTAACACAATCTGCAGATTTAATAATAGAATTCCATCCGTGTTATTTTCCTGTTCTTAACCATTGTATGTGGTTGATTTTGACCTTTGTATGTGGTTGT